GGAGATGGTCTGTACTACTTGGTAACACGTTTCGAAAGTACAGATTGATAGTTTACCCGTACGTCACGTGGCGCGCCACTGTACGCACAGGGAGAGCGAGGGAAATAGAAATAGCTATTTCACCTCGTCGCATGTTACGTGATTTCTAATCGCATCGTAAAAATTCCATCATAAAGAGACAAAACGTTCGTCCCAATTAAACGCGGTGGAACGTTGTCAAATTTTCTCCCGAACTTCTTGTATTTGAACTTTACCGATGTACCGGACCACACACAGATGAATCTCTAAACGAGTCAGAGCGCCTATACACGACTCCTCTGTGAAAGGGAGCAGGATATATGTATATTCGAATTTATGCGCCGGTTCAAACACGTTCCCCGCGCGAGCTTAGGGTGCACGGATAGGTATACGCACCCATACTTGGGTAAACGATCATGTGCACGTTCGATATATATAAGAGCGAACGACCAGGCAACGACATCAGGGTAGAAGTCCTTATGAGAGACATCTGGCTACCACCTGCCTCGATGCCCTCGCACTGCCAAACTTCCCCCCAATAGAACGCTCCCCGAGCATGCGCACCCGCTCTTATGACGCATGCATGTGGATGCACGTGAATACGAGGATGCACGTGTTTGAACGCGTTGCCGAGTTCTCTTGCAAGAAATTTACCATTCAAGAACGAAGATTTTTACTGATTTCTGCTTCTCCTGTAATTCCTATGGACATTTTTCGAGATGATGTAATATCAGTTAATAATTTGAATGAACAATTAGAAATGCCATTTATCTCGTAGGCTCTTCAATTTTACAATCAATCTCGATAATCTTGATTCTTTGCGAAAATTCAAAATTAAGGTTATCGATAAAATTTGTTAATTGATCGTCTAAAATTCTCAATAAAGAACTCGATAGCCAGGAATGTATAATGAAAAAGGATAATCAAATAACGCAGAAACACCAGATTGACCTCCTCATATCCTCCGCGAAATATGACCGACTAACCTAACCCCGGGCGTGCATATGTCACTTTTCGCTCTGAAACATGCGCAGTAGCAAGGTAGGCAAGGAAAATTCCCGCCGCCTTATGGTTGCGCTAGTACTAAAAAAAAAGGGAGAGAGAAGAAAAAAGGGGGAAAGCCCCTCGGTAGCGAGCTTCATCCCCCTCGTTCCTCGAGGTGTGCGCCGTGCACCACGCCTTACCCAGTGTACGGCGACCAATTGTAAATCGAGCGACGAGCCACCCGGTGCTCGTTCCCATGACAAGTGCGATGGGTATTTTCTCCACGTGAATCTTTAATTCCACCGTGGGAATCGAGGCTGCATCACGAAGAATCAACCTCATAGAGAGGTTGATCCACGCGCACCTTGCTAATGTCGACTGATTAGGAGGCCCGAGTATGAATTCAGATCCTATCTACTTTGACCTGAGCCTACGCTATTCTGCCAGATCAAAACAGCGCGCCGCCTGTTCCTCGTGTACATATGCTGAAGTTCCAAGTTCCATCTTGGTTATTAAACTTGGATGATGTTAATCAAATAATGACAATATCGAATAGTTCGCAATTTATTAGCATTTAAGCAAACCCAACCTGCAATAATTTCAACATAACCTCAAAACACTGGACTTTGTTTAACTACTTGAAAAGTAGTTGGTTTTGAAGAAATGAATCTAACTTATAATTCATGATTATATCCAATCGAAGATACGAAGTACATATAACCTAACACGCGATCGAATGACCATGGAACTAGACGTCAAAGGGAAAAATACATATGGCGGACAGACAGATATTAACAAAGGAAAATGTGAAATAAATGCCAGTATACGATCGAAGGGAATATTGGAGGGTAAGAGAGATCATTAGAATTCATCATGTCACCGGTGAACGAAAGCGATGTCAGTCTATCATTTGGCCGTCCCCCGGTCGAGAACAATTCGAAAACATATGCTCCAGTGCTTTTGGAAGACTCAATAGAATATAAGGAGTCGCAGACGAGAAGGCGTACATGCAAAGCCTTTGCTAGGCTAAAGTCGTTCCAGACTGCGGTCTTTCTTGACTGGAGCAGATGCTGGAAATCAGGCTCGTTCTTGTGTGTACCCTCCTGACGATCGACGACATGGTCCTTCGAACGAGTGTACCGAACCCGACATCGAAAATAATGATACGAATGAGGAGAAGAGAACGGGCTGTAAGCAGCCAAAGAAACGAGAGAGAAAGAAACAGAGAAAGGTCGTTCCTTCTTCGGGGGGACTTCCTCAAGGGGCCCAGTCGCGAATCTCGTCGGAAGAACTGGAATCCCTTCGAAAAATTTGTTACTTGACATCTTTTGAGATCTTCCTATCCCTCTTCGTCTTCTATCTCCTTGTTAGACCTCTCGTGTCCTTGCCTCGCGATATTGTTCGTCACATGTTTTTAAAAGAAACGCAGCTGCTTAAACGGTTATTTAATTGTCAGCTAAAAGAACACTCCTCCGTTACGAATTTAAATGACCATCGGCGCGATCTAGCGGAGATTTCATGCACAAATATCCGAGATGTTATCACGATTCTACGAATTTATTGTCGTACCCCATAGAGCTTGTTGAATTTCTTCTAAAATTAGATCAATCCAGGGGAACGTATTCTAAGTTTATTATGTACTCCGATCGCGTCCAAGTAACCTCACACGTAGGGAAATTTCTTTTTTTAGGGAAAACCAACCACACGCGACGACAGCGCCGCACTTGTAAACGCGCGTACCGTGGTTAGATCAAATTTATTACGATTCTTTAACGTATATATATATACATTACGTAATATCACTGATTATATCAGTCGACTAATGAAAATGAAGAAACGCGTTAAGCGTACTTTTCTACCTTAAACGTTTCGCAAACTTTTCTCTCTAGCATCATAGTTCTTTCTTGACAGCCCATAAACTCGAGACATCGCTAAGAAACCCAATCACGCGTTTCCTGTCCTATTCTGCCTGTGCAAGTAGCATCCTACCTTCAGAAAGAAAATAAAACGTTGTCTGAGATCAGAAGACGGATTTCTTCGATATCCCTTAGGACAATTTATGGGTAAAAGTCACTGCTAAGATATATTCCGTTCATCTCGCAAAGCCGATACGTGGATTTGTCTTAACTTCGACAGTCTCCCGTTGACCCGAATCGTGTCCTTTCCGAACACATGTATCCGTGTATTCCGCTGATCTCTCCCCACTCCGTTGCTGAGCAGCGCGCGCAACGGATCATTCGGGAAGCAATCACGTGTTTCATGCCATGAGACGTTACGAGCCATGGTTTCCGCATTTCGCGCCGACAACGTGATTCTCCCCTGCGTAGGCAATGTGCCAATGTGCACACTTTTAAACTTCGATAAACTTTCATACCGTTATTCTTTCTTCAATCTCCTTGACTCTTTTCACCCGCTTCTTTTTCTCTATTCCAACGTGATTTCGCGTTTTCAACGGTCCTGGAATCCTGATTTACCCAGGTATACTTATTCAATTTCGTTTCTTTGTCTTCCGTTTTTCAGCCCACATTTTATGGCGTGCATCATGGGGACCAGGTATCGAATTCCATACATCAAGCAACCGTTCCCCCCCCCCCTTCTATTTTTTTGCAAATATAAATTTTTTGGTAATGTATAATCTCAGTGCAAAAATGTGTACCTCGGTAAATGTCCATTTAACATGGAAACAATGCGAGACGCGCATCGAAAGGCGGTCAGGGTTGGCTATTAAGCCAATTCAGAAAATAGTTAATACACCAGGCCCCGGTTAAAGGACGAAGACGCAACCTCGTCCGCCAGCAAACGAAATAAACGACCGGAGAATTCTCAACGGGTTCGATCTGGAACCGGGTTTAAATCTCCTTTAGTCGAGAACGAGTCGCCCCGGCTGTAGACCTGCGGGCGCGCGCGCACGCGCACGCGCACGAAAGCAGACCTGGGACTTATATACGGGGTCTGGCCTTTTTCCCTCTGGCTCTAAGCGATAAACGAGCCTAAAGTGGGATATCTGCTAGGCAACAACACGAGGGATAGTCTGAGGTTCCTTCCAAGATGCCTGCTGCTTTTCCTTTCTGCCTGCCTCAGTGTTTGTCTCTTCTCCCTTCCTACCGCTATTCGGCATTTACAACCTACTGGGTGACTTTTCGAAAATGCCGACCATCGTTCTTCTAACGCATTCGTAATCGTGGCTACGAACCGACCACGGACGGTGTAAATCTCTAAAAAATTCTAAACGGTATTCTACCGATTTTCGAAAATATCCTAGAGAATGTAATTTTAATTAATTTTTACGTAAAATGTAAACTATTAGACAGATAAATATTGTGTTGAAAATTGGAGAAAATTTGACGGTACAATATACTCACTTTTTTCTAATAGTGAAAATCTTTGTATTAGTTTTCATGATAAAAGCAACGAAAAAATATCTTCACTTCAAAGTAAATATAAACATCATTTGCAGCTAGGTAGACGGGACAAACTTGTATGTAGACCGACGTTACAATCTACCCTGAGATAAGGCCGCATCCTTTGATATCGACGCTGAAATGGAGACTTCCGTTATACGCAGCAAGATGTTTCCAGCGCTTGTTACATTCCACGGTTCCGACGGTCGGGGGATTGGCTGCGTGCGTTTGTTTTGATAAAACGCATGAATTCAAAGTGTAGTTACATTGACAATTTGTGCGAAATATTATTAAGGATCGCTGAGAATTTAGATCAACGATAAACTTGCAGTAGAATCCGGATAGCTATTTAAACTTGAGGTACAACAAAGAACCTAACATTCACCGATGGCAATAAATACGTTTTAAACAATGTTCGCCCTTTCTTTTTTATTCAATTATTTAGAAATAAAAAGAATTATTAAATACCGAATAAAATTTCATAGTACGCGTTATGAAATTATATCGGAAAACATTAAGCTAACGAATACACCGTTTAACCAAGGTACTATTCATGGTAACAATCACCGAGGAGTGATATGCGCATGTACTACTTACGCTTCGGTGGGTGGCGGAGAATAAAAAGACGAGTGGTAGGTAGTAATATCCACGACCTTCGCTGGTACGAGTAGCCCACTCGACACTACATCCATTCTCACGGGTAGTCTTCCAAGAAAACTCGCGGTCAGGGGTACTGAATGGTTTTCGACGGATCCGGTCCCGAAAACTCGAACTTCACAGCCTCTGAACACACTATCTCTCTCTCTATCTCCCCTACGGTATTGTACGTGCTTTACATAGTATTGACACCACGAACCATCGTCGAAACCCTCCGTCAGTATTCCGTTAATACTTTCCTTACCACCGTTAGACAATTCGTTCGATTCCTATCATGAGTAGCATGATCGGTCGTGTTTACAACATTCGATATAATTCGCCTGTCAACCGTGCGCGACGCGTCGCCGTTTACAATGTATAAAACCCTCTGCGACTTCCACGAGGCATGCGGAAACATAAGAACTTCGTGTGCCTCTGTGTCTCAGCTCGTCTCCTCTCTTTCTATCTATCTCTTAATGCAACATGCTTCTTCGTTGTAGCTCCATGTGTATCCACCGCGTGATAACCAATTGGTGTTGCAGATATCTCGTTAAATCGAACTTATCGACACATCAAGAGAGCAGGAAAAACAATAACAAACGCGGCTATGCGTCTTTCCACAGTCTATGGTTAAAGGTGGGGAGAGTGTTTGGGCGCACGCGTCGCGACAGTGCAAAAGCATTCACTCAAATGTAGCGAGGGAAAAAGTGTTGTCACTAAGGCAGCGAGGTAGAGGAAGAAAAGCACGACACAAGACGAACACGATCACAGGTTTCGCGCGTTACTTGTCCGTCTCATCGATCGATCCTCGAGTTTCCTCCGGCTTGGTTGTCCATTATGCAAAATTGTAAACTTCGTGACGGGTTGCTTTGTCGCGACGCGCGCCCAAAATCGAGCTGAGTCGCGCAAACGTCTCAACCAGTCGCCGTTTGGATTTGAACTGAAGGTACTGGCTGCTTTGCTAGCGGCCTGCGCGCTTGGACGGTCCCTAACATGCTCTCATGCTGGGCTGTTAGCAACGTGGAGGGGAAAGGTACGGTCGCGGCTGCTCCTCGAAGCTAGGGAAGGACAGGAAAGCTACGGGACGAGGAGATGGTACGCGGAGGGCGCGATCAAACGTCGACCGTCCCTACACACTTTACGTGTGCGTGCGCTCGTCTGACCTTGTGTACGTGTTGGTACATGCGCCCTCGACCGTCTGTACACTCATTCAAACCCATTAAAAAAATAGTCTGGTAGTGGATGCCGCGATGAAAGCTTTCTCGTTAACCCTTTCTTGTTTTAAAATTAATAGAGACGGAAGGTGGACAGTTAGAATATACAAAAAGAAGTTGACGGGTAATACTGGGTATGTGATATTAATGCGGATGTGCAACGACAGATGGCACTTTTTAAATTCACGTTAGAAGTATACATTTACGAGGGTTGCTGATCTATAAGTAGATAAACGTGGCACCATAAACATCGCGTATGGATGGAAATCGTTACATTGCATGATGTCATGAACAAATGGATGATAGTAAACTATGTTTTCGGTAAGAACACGACATTCATATACATACCAGTAAAAAACCATTTAAACTTTATGAGAAAAAATATAAAAATCGTACTATATAGAACTCCCGGGGCTACAGATATATTTAATTTTAGGTAATTTTAAATGAAATAAGCCTGTTACATAAAAGCAGCTGTCATACAAAATGAAGAAAGTATGAAGTTATTTTAGCGTAATCTTCAAGTCATATTAGGAGGAAACAGTCTTTGTTTTCAATCAACTCCTGATGGTTTTGAAGACCCCCAGAGAATTATAAAGACTACCGTCTAGACGTGTCACTTATGTAACTCTTTGGAGAAAGATATCCTTCACGTGTACTAAGTGTCCATTTAAAAATCCACTTGTACAATGATGTTTAAACTTGATTTATAAATCAAACGTTTGTAAATTTTCAAATTTAATTTTCCCATTTTTTAATCGGGTAAGTTTTTTCTTAGGAATTTTTTATTAAAATATATGATACTATAAACAAACATAATATTGACTTGTCGATGTACAGTTAACTTATGTTCATGCATGTTTTCAGATATCAAACTGAATGTGACAATAACCTGGAATGATAACGACTGGAACAGAAGAAAATGTATAAATTAAAGCATCCTAATGCTGTTTTACTACTCAGCCCATTCTTGCAGTACAAATACAGGTGTTACCCGCAAGAAACAGCCTGTATATCTTTTAATACTCATAAAACTGCGTATGCCATTGTGCCTCGGAGGAAGTGGTCAGACATAAAAAGCACTGTTGAACAGTCGAATACACATGTAAGTCCACGTAAAGAATAGACGTGACATGTAACCATAGAAACGAAGAGACCAAGATCTACAAAATGGAAATGTAAAATTGGTCGATAGCTTAAAGCAGATTTCCAATAGAGCGAAATTTAGAGAATTTCAGAGTGACCTTGAGCCCAATGTCTCTGAATATCGCATGGCGGTTCCACCGTGGATCTGATGTTACGGTAAATGAGGGAAGTGCCGGGCAATGTTTTGAAAACAAAAGAGAAATGCGTTGGCTGTGAGAACGTACTTTAATTCTGGTGAATACCTCTCGCTCGGTGCACGCCTCAGGGTGCGTCTGCATCGTTGTTCGCGAATACTTTCCCACCGTGGAGTCTGTAGCTGGAACAACCTCCAGCAGTACACGCGAGCTTGTATGTGTGCACGTATTCGTAAATATGCTGCACTCATGAGCGGAATGCGCGTTTGTGACCCGTACTGGTCTTTAGGTTATGTTGTTCTTCGTAAATCTTTTGTCTAATCATGATCTATCCTTGACAAGTTAGCGTGAAACGTTACCTTAATCAAGTTAAGTATATTTTAACTGAGAATGTAGTGTTGAATTTGTAGCATATAAACAATAGATAAGGTTACTGTACGTGCTATTTTATCTGTTTACAAGTCTAATAATTTTCAAGGCTGATACACAATACATGTAATTGCATCCATCGACTTTGAACACCATAAACTAACGTGGACCCGACGTCATGGGTGTTCTACGTATTATGCAAGAGAGGGGTGGATGGGTCGGCAGAAAAATTTTCGGGCTGTTGAACAGGGAGTACGGTTCGCTGTAGGATACCTTCGCCCACGATCAAATTCAAGTTTGCTTAATTTCTTTCTTAAACAGAAGAGGATAGTGTTACAATCATGAAATAAAAATTTGAAGTAGCATAGTATGAATATGAAAATCAACAATCATACTTTCATGTATGTTTATAGTTAATTACTTATTACTTAGATTAATTAATAATTATCTTTCTATCAAGCTTTAAATTGTTTCTTAGGAAACTATGAAAATACCTTATACATCAATATCAGAATGCAGTAACGTCAGCCTACCCACCCTTAGAAGTCCTTGAGTTGAAAAATACAACGGTCACTTTACTAGGGGAAAACATTTACAAATGATCCACCTTCACCCGAGAGATACATCAAGCCGTTTCAAGCTTTTCGTTTTATTTTGTACTAATAATTGAATTATTCACTGACGTAAATTCTGTTACTTCTAGAATTCCGTCCAAAACTATTTCTAAAACCGACAAAGGTGACTAATAATTTCCTTGAAATTGCCACGAGAGGAACATCGTTGTACGTGAAATGCAATTAATGCAAATTTAAAATAAGGGCAGAAGAAAAAATGAAGACCAGTAAGTCTCTTAAAAACTTTACGCATTTTATACTATAGGTAGCATCGAATGCAGAATCCATAACGATTTTTCAAATTCGCTGCATTGTTCCGTGACCGTCGTTAATTCAGTGTGAATTGGCCTTAACTTGTGCTCGTTGCGTTCTCAAAGAGCGAAACAGAGAAAGAGGAGGTGCAGTAAGAAAAACAAATGAATCGGAGGAGAAGGATGAGGAGAAGCACGGAGGAATCGTGGTGGCCGGGGACACGGAAGAGAAGAGAAGACGCGAGAAAGACGAAGAAACGAGAGGAAGGGATCCGGAATATAAGTCTCTGCAAGGCCTCGCGGTTTCGCCGTTGCCTTCTGAGAACCGATCGACTCTCAAAATGCGAAAGAATAACAAAAACTAACCCGCGTGAAGCCGATATCGATTCTTTTGCATCTTGAGTTCAATGCAATAAAATCGATCGAAATCGTTCCCTTTCGTCTTACCGTCTTTAGTAAATAAGACATTAAGTAAACGGATGGACGTTATTAATCAACCTTTTACAATCGCACGCCAAAAGGGAACGCTATCGAATTGAAAGCAATTATTACAATTAATATCACATGTGATTTCTCTTGCTTGCTTTTTCAATTGGAACTGTTTGAGAAGCGAAAACCATATTTGTAACGATGACTTGGTTGTGTCTATACAACAAACGATAGTTAAATTTATTTCATAGGAACGAGTCTTGATGCCTTACTTTGTTCACGTGTATACATAGATTTCTGCATTAACAATTTCAACGAGATATCGTTTTTGATTTATTCAATTATTCACTGTCGTAACGGTGTATTGAACGGCATTAAATGAAGAAGAGTTAACGGCGAATTCAATATCAAACGTCTAGTTCATTTACCAGTTTGCCAGGCTTTGTCAGCTATTCAAAACGACGACCGGATACGAAGTAGACGTAAACACTAAATACATAGAATATGGAAATGAATGCAATGCTTCTGGAACAGGTCACAAAATTCTTTGGGCCAGTCCTGAGACCCAGACGCAGAATAATGATCTACCCCGATAAAAAAAATTCACCATTCATATGCGTGGCTTGGGAAGCGCGAAAAATTATGCTCGAATCTTTTTTTCTCCCTTTCCGTCTGAATCGGTGATATTGTCCGGCACAGATTACACAGTTCCTTGCTCATACTGGCCGAGTCGAACCAGATGGCGTAATATCCTTTGACTTCAAATCATAATAAGCGACGTGATGGAAGGAAGGATAATTCCTCTGTATATAGAAAATTCTTATTCACGTGGTCCATCCTTAGTTACCCCTCTAACTTGTTTTTCGTTTTCAATGCCGTAAGATATGTACCAATTGCGGTACCCAGAGACACGAGTTCTCGACTGCAAACTGGTATCTTGAATTTTTTGTGAAAACACAGGGAACTGATAGTACAAATACAATTTATTAAAACTATACTTATCGAAAGCGCGGCAAATATAAATGTGCTTCACCGTATGAATCGAATATAATTAAAAATTGTTTAATATTTATATACCTAGCAGTCGTATACCTTCGTTCATACCTTTGGTACCCGCG